TAGAGCCCCCAGGATTGAATTAGTGCTCTTTTAAGACAAGGAAGAGATGCTAGAGCTTCATCTTTCCACAACATGAGGGTATAGCAAGAAGGCTGCAGACCATGATGTGGGCCTTCACCCACAACTGTATCTGTAGGCACCTTAATTTTAGATTTCCAAGTCTCTAGATCTGTAAGATGTAAGTGTCTATTGGTTAAGTCACCCAGTCTATGGTATTTTGTGATAACAGCCTGCAGTCAGTTACTAGTTCCTAGTAATTTCTATAAATTCAAAAGAGAAGATCTATAACATCTCAATTGTAAATCAAGTGAGAGTTGGTAAGAGTCACAGAACCTTCTCCTCATGAGAAACTTTGCTGTCCATCTTTTGCATAGGCATATATTTCCTACAGCCTTCATGTTATCTCTGAATACTTTATGGCCAGGTTGGCCTTTCCCAAGACAAGGTTACCACCTCTCTTTTGGCAATCTTGGGTTGTTTGTTTTTTACATGATTCAGGGCTTCCATCAAAATGCTTATTCAAAATGTAGTCCTAGCGAGGCTGTGGCACATGCCCATAATCCCAATGATCTGGGAGGCTAAGGCAAGAGGATTATAAGTTCCAGGTCAGCTTGGACAATTTAGTAAAGCCCTCAGCAACTTAGGAGACCTTGTCTCAAAATGAAAAATAGAAAGAAGGACTGGGTGCTAAAGGACTGGGGACCGAACATATGGTTCAATTCCCAGTTCAAAAACCAAAGAACCAAGTCCCTGCTCTCACCCAGATCCACTGATGATGAAAGTTCAGGGGTAAGGGACAGAATATGTGTTTTATCTGAGCATTTCAATTATTCATAAATTCTAATCCATAGCAAGTAGATCTGGGATAAGAATGGGCTGAGGTGGGGGGTGGGTTCACTATTCCTCTTTTATGCCTAGGCATGGATATGTGCTCAAATATCAGTCCTACCACTTCCTAGCTTGGAGCTGTGGGAAAGTGGCCTCACCAAGCTGGGGATACTGTATTACATTACGGATGGCATAAGGAAGGCCAAGTATGTGTGGGGGGTGTTAAGAGGTGATTAGATCATTAAGTGGGATTTCTGCCTTTCTCACAGGACTGGGTTAACTCTCAAGGTAGTGAGAGAGTGCTAGCTCTCCTGAACTGGATTACTTGCCACAAGAGTGGGCTGTTATAAAGCAAGCCTGCCCCTTATGTTTTTGTCTCTTCTTCATGCAACTGCTTGCCCCTCAGACGTCTGCCAGGTAATGAAACAGCACACAGGATACAAGGAATGCCAAGCCAACGCAGCCTGCGCTGACTTCTGTCTTCCATTGTGCCTTCTGAGGTCAAAGCTTGCTCGACTCCATGAGGTGTGTGGTGGTGGTCACCTTGGTCCTCATTTTGCCAGCTGTGGGTTGTTCTGTGGTCCTGGAAGAGGAGAAGGGGCAGTGGAGTGTGCGTGTGAAGTCTCTTTCCCACAGAGGGGCATGTCATTGGTTTTGTTCACCTCTTCCTTCTAACAGCCACTACTTCTGCCAGTTTCAGTTTCCCTCCCCATAAGAGAAAGTGTCCCAACTTAGTCTGGATGTGCGTGTGGGAGTGACTTCAAAGTCTCCAAAGAAGGTGGCCAAGAGAGGACTCAGAGTCTCTATAATGAGAAAGTAGATTTGATTGAGAGGCAGGAAAGGGGAGTCCCAACTCTTAACTTCTAGGAGCTCCCAGTCCATGACTAACTCACATTCTCAAAGAATCCTAGGTAGATCAGCATAGGTTTGAGGGCAGAAACATGCTCAGAATACCAATATAAATTCCTCAAAGCAAACAGAAAAGAAAGTATATATTGATAGATAAATTTTCAGGACTTAGAAGGGGGGGAGGAGAGAGAGAGAGAGAGAGAGAGAGAGAGAGAGAGAGAGAGAGAGAGAGAGAGA